GCGCTCGGGTGAGGCGGGCCCGGCGGCTGCTGCCTGAGGGGAGGATGGACGTTCTGCTCCGTCCGCCTTCTGCGGTGCACACTACGCGAGGCGTCTGCGAGGACCCGGTCCCCCTCCGCGCACTGTTCCTCCGGGGGCAAGTGGGACCCTCCGGCCGCCGGGATTTATCAGTGAGATCCGCGATCCGCAGAGAAAACGGCGGCCTGACGCGCGCTCCCCACGGCGCCTCGCGGGTCTGACAGAGCCGCAGGTGCCCGGGTTTCTCAAACTTTGTTCATGAAACAGGCCTCTCTCCTGATTATGGAAGAGATGCTGTTGGATGTCACAAAACAAATGCACTTAGGAAAAGAAGAGACGCCTATGCAAGCCCTCCTGCCCTGCGTGTCCTGCGTGATAAATCTATTTGCGACATTTAAACCCATTTTGGGGGAGGAAGAGCCTTCTTTTATTGTCTGGTGAATTGGAAAATACCAACTTTCCCTACCTCATATTTATTTCTACCCCCTAGGCCTTGTTTTCTAAATGTGCTAATTTGGGGAAGTGACTCAAAAATCTAACCACTTTAATCCTTAGAAGTAAATCTCAATTTTTTCGTAGTTTATGTGATTTAGAATTTTAAAAGTTAACTAAATCCATTTGTTGACTATATTTAATACTAAACTACTCTAAATGGAAATTAATATATATGGAAATAATGACATGGACTTCATTGACTTATGAAATATGTATGGCTTGTCCTCATTAAGTAAATGAGTGTTTACTAATAATTGTTTCAGTAAACAAAAACTTACATGTTAAATTTAAGACGTCTATGACAAACTTTGCTAAAATGATTTGATGTTCACATCTTTGTCGACACCCAATAGAAATCTCTGATGTACTTAACGGATGATAAGCCATTATCAATGCACTATGAAAACTTAAAATTTCACTTAATGAAATTGAGCTTGAGTAAATCTACAAAGGAAAACGAGAATGTATAACTTCGGGAATTCCCACATAATACAGAAATTTCAAAATTAAACTTGTTTAATGTTACGAAAAAGTGAATTTTTAAAAGTGATATTAAATTATTATTAGGCTTTTAACAGCAGTAGTGAAAATATAAACCTAGGGTTACCTCTATATCACATTTAAACCTATTTGATAAATGAATTTGGCTTTTATTAAAAATGGAGCTGTCATAAATTGAAAGCACAGTTAAAATAGAAAGCATTACAAATTCTTGTGAGGTAATAGTAATTAGAGCCCTTACATCTATCAACTGTAGTACCCAAAGCATAGGCTGCAGATAGAATTTCTAAGATGAAGTGCCTTATGCTTCATGACCTCAATGGACTTTGGACAAATTACATCTCATTCTCAAGTTTCCTCACCTGTAAAATGAAAATTCTGTTTCATAAACGTGTAGTATAGGTCAGGATAATTATACTTACTTCAACATTGTAAAAGAAGATAGCCATGTGCGCCACCTGATATGTTTTGGCTACTGAAGTTTTAGATAATTTTACCATCTTTGCCTTTGGTTTCTTCTGCTTTTCCTTAGCTAGAAAGATCAAGACTTGAAATTAATTTAACTTCTTGAATTAAAAAATATATATGTATATAATACTTTTGTCTTCTAAGCAAGATTCTTTAAAAACTTACCTTCAAAACTTTTAACTACATAATTCTCCAAATACATATTGGCGAATTGAAGACATAATGTCTTTGTTAGCAGAATTTCTTTTCTTTTTTTTTCTTTGTTTTTTTGGGGGAACCGAGATACAACTTGGGTCCTTGTGCTTATAAGGCAGGCAGCAGAACCACTGAGCTAAATCCTCATCCCTGTTAGCAGAATTTCTGATTATGCCAAAGTAGATATATATGTCCATCCTACTATGCCAACATAAAAAACTTTTAAGACAATAAGGCTATAGATGGAATTCTGTTAACTTATATTTGATACTGAGGGAGTAGAGATGTAGCTCAGTGGTAGAAACTCTGGTATACAGTATAAGGAAGCATAATTTAAGGAAGAGTTACATACCATAGGGAAACATAGCTTAGCATAAAGAAGGGCCTAGATCCAATCCCTCATGACAAAAAATCAAAAAAGCAACTTCAAAGATAGGTTTTGGTTGTTTTTTTGTTTTTGTTTTGATTAGAAATGCCAGCCTAGCCTTAGAACTTGTAGGCCACAACAAAACTTAATAAAGACAGATGCATGGAGGAGGTCTTATAAAATCATAGATGAAAGAAGACTAGATATGCAACAAAGAATCTATTGCTGAGAAATATGTTCCAGTCATTTCATAATCTTTATTAAACTACATCAGTGTTTGAATTGCTTTTTTTCTTTCAAGAAATTTTAAGTCTTAACCCAAGTACAGGTTTTGATTTGTTCTTATTTCTGTTTTATTTAGACTTGAAGATTGAAAATTATGACCATCATAGATGTTTTTCCACAAGCTCAAACTAATTTCTAATTTTTTTCTGCAAATGTTCAAGTATAGTACCCTTGTCTACAAAGTTGTAATTTATGTTATTTTCTACCCTGTTTGCTTTTCTCTGGACTTTTTCCAACTCCTTAATATTCTTAAAATGTAGAAAATGTGAACGTGAACATTTCCCTGGAAATATTATTTAATTACTCCGTGGAGCATGTGAATAAGCAATATTTGGTGTTTCCTTCTTACCATGCATAAAGGATGCTTTTTTCCCTCAATCTTAAGATCAAGAAGTGCTGGCTGCGTTTGTTGCAAAAATTTTAGCAATTGCTTTCTGCCTTATTCTCTCTTGAGCAGAATACAAAACGTCTTTCACTCTGTTTTCTTTGGCAAGTTACTTTCTTATCTCAAATTCTTTTTACCCAGTTTGAGAGATTGGATTTGATCCAGGAAATAAGGGTTCTGTTTGTCTTCAACTGAGTTTCTTGAAGTGAGTAAACTAGATTAAAATGACTAGGGATTTTATTTTCATACATACATGTAAAATACATATTTTGTTCTAGAATGTATGTAAATACAACAAAAATGCAGTTCTTGGATTTAATGTCTTTTTTTTAACTGTTATCATAGTTTTATTTTCTTTCTTTACTGCAGTCTTTAAAGGTAAAGCTCTCATTTTGGTAAAAAAACAGGGTATTTTGTTTATGGAGAAGAGGGCATATTTTCAGAGACATCCCCCTGCTATGACCATTATATTTTGCAGATTTCTCTTGTCCTGGACCTCTGCTATCCATTTTTCTTCTTCACAGATGTCATTATGTGCCTTTATAAGTCCTCTGAAATACCTTATTCCCCTACTAATGTTAATAATTATGAATGCAGTGATACCCTTCACTGTGGAGGATGTGGAAGTCACTGCACACAGGGATCTTAGGGCATTCAGCAGCCATTGTATCCATAATTGCTGTACTGACATAGTGCTTGGCTATAGCAGAACTGAATTACAGAGACAAAACAGCAGCAAATCTGCTTACTGCAGGGCGACATCTCTCCAAATGTCATGTGCTTCAAGTGTTCACATTGTAAAATAGTTGTGCACGTTTTTATGTAAATGTGGTATGTAGCAGTGCTTTAGAGAATTTGTCCTATTACATGTTTTCTCAAGTTAAATGTTGAATGTTTTATTTTTCATCAAGTAAAATCTTGAAAACTTAGCTAACAAACTTTTTTTTTTAATTGGTCTCATATTCTCTTTTAATTTCATTTTAAATTACAAGCATTTTGGGGGATTACTTTTAAAAGGATTGCTTAATTATAACGTTTGGATTTCTTATTGCTATTTGTGGAAAATTGAATTCTTTTTCATGCTAGTGAATTAATTACCAGTGATAGTTAGGAGAACTATATGGCCTAATCTCCAGACACCTAATACATACCTTTATTCGAGAAGTGATTTGAAGAACTAAGGATAGTAGAGAACCCCAGATGCTGCTTACTGGTATTCTGGCTGCTACTCTTTAACTTAGATGAATATTCAATGGCGCTTTAATTATTTCACATGAGAAAGGAGAAACAGCTTCTTCATTATAAAGTGCTCAAGGTTAACCCTTAGGTGAGTAGACAACTTGGATACTTAGGGTAATTTGAAAATGCTGTATGTCCCTTTATTCCGTGATAATGCTGTGGTAAAGATTATGGTATCCTGTCATAACGTTCTTAAAACCAATTTGCATTTTTATACAGCAATAACTGCACATAATTTTAAAAGGTGCATAGTACTAAAATATTTGTAGCAAATAAAACAAGTTCTGAACTCCCTTCTTTATCCTCATTCTTCTCAGACATCTACTTTGCGCTGTTTTTTTCTGGTATTTATAGCTATATTTCTAAATAGTATGCCAAGTTGCTGCTTATTGATTGAACAATTTAAACCATTATGTATTAACTTTTGAATATAAACAGTAAGGTTTATGTCTCTTCCCCCAATGTATTTGTTGCACAATTCGTGTTTAAATAACTCACACAGAATGATGTGTTATTCTGTGAGTCAGGCATTTCACTATAATTATTTTACATTCTTAAAAAATTTGTTCTTTTCAAAAATTTCTTCAAATTTTCTTTCTAAATTTCTTATTTTTTTAGTAACTATAGACAACTCCCTCCCCAAGTATAGCACTACACTAACTGTATCTGAATCACAGTCCTTTTCAGGGAAGGGAACTGGTAATGAACCACTGTAATTTTATTCTTGTAAGTTTAAGATATAAGGTACAGCCTGCAGGTGGAATGTCTTTATTTCACATTGGCAAAAGAGCTGATATGGTGGGCAGAAAGTAGCTATTCTAATCTGAGTTCTGAGAGTAGCTATATATTCTTAGTAAAGTGATTTAACTTCTGTATGCTTCCCATTTACCCATCTGGGAAATGAAAGGAAGGAATTAATGATTGCTGAGGTTATTTTCAGCTCAAAATTACACAATAAATACTGTTATTTGGATTAGAAAACATTGAGCATGTTAAAAAAAAGTAATGGGTAAAAGAATGCATAAAAGGATGTCATATTTTTACATTATTGCATTTTTGGCAATATGAAAATGAATATGTGGGCCTTATAAGACTGTTTCTAGGAATAGAAGGCAGTAAAATTATTCACTGAACATAAAAGTCCTACTTTTAATTACTTTAGAGCAGGAAGAAATGGCTTTGATTACTGTGGTTTCATGGAATTACTGACCCATAATGTGTCATTTATATCCAAAATTATATTGCATAGTACTTGATAATTATTAAATCTTTCATGACTCAATTCTTCACTGCCAAAAGTTAATATTAGGATTTTTTTTTTCGCTGTGTTTTGTTTTTTAATAGATTCGGAAAAAGTTTGAGCACTCAATTTATCTAGAGTCAGTGGTCGCATTAGAATAAGTTACTTATTCTTTGTTCCAGAGTCTAGCTTCATTTAGAAAGAAATCATTAGAGCTGACAGGGACAGTAGCAATTATGTAGTTCAAACTCCTCATTCACCTATACTTAAAAATGGAAAAGGCAAAAAAATATACAAGGATTTGTGGATATATTTGGTTTGTTAGATAGCAACAGTTGTTGAGTAAATGTGTCTAAAACTTCCCTTAAAAGGCAGCAAAATATAAACAAAATAACAGACATTATAGTCAGATGCCCTATATTAAAGACTTGTTCTATAATGGTAAAATTATGTAACTTCACTGTACCTGTGTTTTTTCATCTGTATCACAAAGATCGTAACTATCTTCTGAGATTGTTATGGGAAGTAAAGTTGCAATAATATTTGAAACAATACTGCCTCAACCCTGGTGCTTAATGTTTGCTCAGGAAATAGTATCTTTTAGTGCTGCATAGAGGTAAAACTTATCACCCACATAAAAGATTTTCAAGAATGTTAAGTCAGTCTGTTCAGCCATGTTCATATATACTCTTCACTATAAACATGTATAACCTAAAGATACTACGGAGAGCAGAACAAGTTTTAAAATTCACTTTCTCAATTTTTGCTCAATACAAATTTGAATATTAAGATTAGATTCCAAAATCTTAATGTTAGATTAACAAGTATAACTTACTGTTTACTGTCTTTCTCTAGAATCTATTTGTCCTTCAATAGTATTTGTAGAAGAATCAATCAATACTTGGATTAGATCAGATTCTTTAGAAGCAGAGTCTGATACAGGAACTCAGTAACATAATTTATTACGCAAGTACATATTCTTCAGGAGACAAGGGAATGAGAGAAGCTCATAGGGAAGGGAAAATTCACATGCAAATGATATGGTCTCAAGGGCATTCTTGCTTTAGCCTGATCCACAGAGGATCAGGCTCTGGAGCATAAATCACTCCACAGAAATGTTGGCATCTTGAGGCAAGAGGATTAGCCTTTTGTATGTCAGTGATAGGCACACTCAGCCACTGACTTTGTGGGCAGAGGGAGGGACGGTTTTAATGGTGGCTTTTGTGAGCTGAAGGCAATGCCAAATCTCTGGAGATGACAGAAACTGTGAGGCATTCACAGAAAATACTCCCAGGGTTGGGAAATGGCTACATGGATTGGTCAGGAAATTGGGAGGAGTGACACCACCAGTGCAGTTCCTTTACCTCAAAGGTTTCTAAACCCATTTTTACTTTGCAGTTACAGTATGCCAAATGGTAGTTTCTAGACTTGTATGAGTAAAAGTATAGTTTATTCTGTTAGCCAGTTGGTGGGCCCTGGCACTGAGAGGGGACACCTTTTGCTAATGTCTACAGAAGCACTGACTAGACTAGTGACAATGTGAAAGCCTAAGCTACAAGTGATGGGCCCAACAACTTCTCAGCAGCACTGACAAATGTTTAAGAAAAATAATTCTGGAATACAAGTTGTCTTTTTCTCAAACTGTAATAATCATTTTTCTCTGCTTGATTATCACTGAATCTTGATTTCACTTGCTACTTGGGAATAAATAAGAAACAGATACAACACTTGATCTTAGCCAAAAGTCCAAGAAGTGAGGGGAATAGGTAAGAAAGAATATGGATTTTTCTTTTTTAGTCTATAAAGCACTGAAGGCTTCTCAGTTTGGGTTTAGATTCTTTCCTTCAGCACTAACTCTGTAGGGCCCGAGACCTTCAAACATTGTATTCATCAGGGTACAGGAAATTAGAATACTTTAAATATTTAAAAAAGAATAATTTAATGCAGAAGTTTGTTTTCATAGGTGATAATTATGTGAAAAGTCAAATACACACCATGAACAAACCCAGAGATTATCAGTGGAAGAAAGTGACTATAACTTTGAGGCTGAACAAATAAAGGGAGAAGGTGGAACCAGAGTTGTCTAGCAGAAAATAGAAGTACAGTGATTTATTCAGTGGCACCATGGAGGAGCAAATGTCCTTGGAGGGGAAGGGAAGAAATTTCCTACCCGCTCTCTTTCTCCCAATCCTCCACCACCATCCTGCTGATGCCTCTCATGGGCTTAACCAGCTCAAAGCTAGCTGAAGTGGCAGCTGGGAAAGAAAGATACATTGCAGGGGTTAGACCTATAGTACAGAATAGACCAGAGGAAGAGATTTGTAATTTAACAGCAAACAGTCAAGAAGCATAGGCACAATAATATTTGCTAAAATAACCTTGGAAGGCTATTTTTGGCCTTCCAAATTCCCAGTGACAGGGTACAATTTAGAGGATACAACATATCTGTCCTGAATTCTAATTCATTTCATGACTAGTTTTCCCATTGTTTCTGTTTATTATTAGCTTTCAAATAATTTGTTGATAAAATCCCATATATAATTTTTATTGTCTTATATTTTCTTATAATAGACGTGTTCTTCTTTAAAACACATGTCCATGATCTCTAGTAACAGTAGGCAATTTATATTTTATGACTTTGCCTTCTGGTCACAGAAGATACAAATACGGGTGAATGTCTACCCTCAGCCTGACCAATCAAATTTGTCTCCTGAGCTGGGACTCATGCACTGTTGATGTTAATCTCTACTAATTGATTAGGTAAGGATATGCAAATTTTAGGAATATAAAGTAGTGACTGTATGCATATGAAAGAAGAGAAAGCAATTTTCAGGCAGAAAAAAGAATGACAAACTTACAGAAGAGGCAGAAAAGGGTGATGTTCCCTCTCCCATGGAAGGAGATTCAAGGGAGAGTAGCTTGTGGTCCTGATAGTTTTCCAATTATTAGTTTAGTGTTTTGGAGGGCCCAGTTTGATTTCCCATTTGTAGAGGATTGACTAATGGTCAACTTGTAACCCCCAGCTGAACTGAATCAGCATTGTCTGGGCGTGGAGGATCCACCTGAAGATTGTTACCAATAGCCACAAAAAGAGAACTGCAAGGGAAGATCTTGGCTGTTGATTTTCTAGAAGCTTGCTACAGATCGTTTTCCTGATGCGAAGTAGGCTGTTCTCGGAGGAGGAGGAGGAGGGGCTCTGGATGTTGCTGTTGCTGGGAATGGCTGCTGCTTTCATCAGGGGAGCTCTGCTCTTTAGTGTGAGTATCACTTCCTGGCTTGGATGTGGATCCCTCAACTTGGTGGCACAAAACCTTCATCTCACGAGTATAGATTTTTCTGGCATCCACCACTGGCCTTTGGGCCTTCCAGGTGCGTATCCTCGATACGGACAAGCATGAGACATTGCTGTGGGCTCTAGGCCACTGACTGGACTCGAGGAGGACACTGCCTTGTACTCTGCATCTTCAGCTTGACTTGTGTGGGAAACTGCTGGGATCTAGGCCCTCAGTTGAATGTTTTGACTCTGGGTAATTATCATAAGGTAACTGTATAAGTTATGTGTTCTATATTTAATATATTCCCTTGTCCAATCCTGCTGACTACAACACTACTCTTTGATTCTGGGAAATACTATGAAGTAGATTTTAAAAATTATTACAGTAAAAGAGATATTGCCATTAATATCCCTCAAAACATTCTCCCTGTCTTCAAACACACTTATCCCATTATTCCTTCCACTTCCTGAAGCAGTTCTGGAAGTCTTTTTTCATAAGTGTCTTTAGTTGTACTGTCATGGTTGCCTTCATAACCTAAATTGATTTAACATGTTTATTCATTTTGACTTTGCAGAAGAACCAGAAGTCACACCATGCCAGATCCAGTGAAAAAGGTGAAAGAGGATAGTCTGTAATGATTTTTACAAGTCTGCCTTTCTGGGAGACTGAAGTTGGGCGCTTCATTCACTGTACTTTTGATCATACTAGGTAAAGACATGAAAGAAGGATTCCAGAACTGCTTCAGAAAGTGGAAAAAAACAATAGGATAGATGTGTTTAAAGAGGGAGTATTTCGAAGGGGATTAATGGCAATGTGTCTTTTATTCTAATAAATTTTAAAAATGTAAATGTCCATTCTACTTTTGGTCACTATATATTGTCCTATAGAAATTCCTCTCTTTGGCATTTTTCAGAGGTTTTCTGTTACCTACAAGTAAAAGATACTGAGACAATATTCCAACTAATTTGAACAAATAGTTTAAAAATTACGTGCTTAACTACTTCATACTTAAGTGTTATGTGTATCTAATACATTTTGTTAGGCTGGGGCTTTGAATTGCTGAAAGAGGGTGGCTATAGTAAGCATTTGATCTGACTTGTCATGTTGACTCAGCGCCTATGTGATGATGGTATCTACACAAATACACAATGCAATGCTCTGACACACAGGAGGAGAATGTCACTGTGTCGCAGTTTCCTGTTTTAATGCAAGTCCATGCAACATCACAATCTCCCTCAGGTTCTCCAAGCACTGCTGGATTTTCTGTTATCATGGGCTATTGACAGTCCACTTTGCTTCAGCCAGAACAGAGAATTGCTTTTTGCTCTTGACTCCACTCCAGATAGCAGTTGAATTCTTATTTTCTAAGATGGTATACTAGCATCAGACAAGAGAATTGTGTTATTGTTTCTGGCTGTTAGGATCTAGAATCTACTGAGAGTCTAGAAAGCCTTAAGGCAGTGGTCAACAAACAATAGGTTTAAGTAATTGCAACATAATTTTTATGACCTACAAAACCTTATAAAGTATTTATAAGGGCCAGTATAATCTGGCTCTTTATAGAAATTTTGTCAACTCTTAAAGTAACAGCATACTTTTCACCATCAAATGATGGAGGTATGAAAACTGGAGAGCCATGAAATAGCTGTGATAAGTTAACCAGTAAAAATGACAAACTCTTGAGTCAGAGCACGACCTGACACTCAGGGACATGCTGTGATAATTCTAAACAAATCTATTTTACATAGTTATAGAATTAAGATAGCCAAAATTGAAACTTACTTCATTTAATTCAGATTGCTAAACTAATAATTTATAAATTATAATATTTTAAATACTTTGTAGCAAGATAGAAGGTAGCCACAAAATAATTTATAATAGAAATTCACTGGTTATCTTACTGTAAAATTTTTTAAAGGAATGGTTGAACTTAGAATTTTATTTACTTTATAAAACAGACAACCATTCAACTGTGCAGATTTTTCTAGTAACAACAAATAGCTCATATTTTTGAAGAAGGAAAAAAGAGACATACTTAATATGTCCTTTTGGGTTTTTAAACGAGTGAGGAAGTAGCTATTTTTCAAAAGAAATTTAAATTACCTAATGTATATTTTCCGAATACTAATTTGGCATTTTGTCCATCATTATGTGATTTCTAAAACTCAGAATGAGATCCCTGGTACAAAAAACAAACAAAAACTAGTATTTTAAAACTTAAATACTCTGAAATAATCTGTTTAAAATTTTTTCAAAATAAAAAGTTTTAAGTGTTGAATATTGAGCCAAAATATGGAAACCCTTCTCAGCTTGCAAGAAATTTACTTTCAAATTTTCAGCAAATGCAATACACATAGGTCAACTAGAAATAAGCATCATGCTTGCATGAGGAAAACTAATGCCCAACTTCTTCCATTATATTTCTGTATTCTTTGTAGTGTCTTTTTCAGCTATAACTACTAAAGTACAGTATAAGAACAAACTCATTTACAATTAAATTTTTGGTTCACATTTCAAAAAATATTGTTTTAAAAAATTGTCCCATATATATATTTTTGTTGTTGTTGGGTTTTTTTTGTTTTTTGTTTTTTGTTTTTGTTTTTTTTTGTTTTTTGAGACAGGGTCTCACTCTGTAGTTCAGACTGACCTGGAGCTCAACTATGTAGCCCATGCTGGTCTCGAACTCACAGCGATCCTCCTGCCTCAGCCTCCCGAGTGCTGGGATTACAGGCATGCGCCACCATGCCCGGCTGTCTTATATATTTAAGTGAAAAGCATTATCTTACTATTTCAGTGCATTAGTCAGTTTTCCCATTGCTGGGAAAAATTCTTGACACTCATTACTTAAGGAGGGAGATTTTTTGGCTTGATTTTGGGCCATAGTCATCTGGATCCAAGACAGAAACATCATGGTGGAAGGATAAAGTGGAGGAAAATGGCTTAGATTGTGGCAGACAGAAGCACAGTAGGGAAACAGTGCCACAGGGGAAGGGGAGAGAGATGAGACATAGACCCCCCAATATGACACTTCTATGACCTGTTCAGACATTGCTACAAGTATGCTCTATCAATCCCTGAACCAATCAAGTTGAAACTCCACCCTAACTGCCACATTTAGATAAAACGAAAAGCTGTGTTTTTTAAACTATTAATTCACCAACCATTTAAAAGGTTATAGTTTATCATTTTCTACTTCATACTAGATGCCTTTTATCAAGTTGAGATAGTTCTTGTCTATCCTCAACTTGTTGAGAGATTTCCTTATAAATGGATAAATTTTGTGAAGTGCTATTTCTATATTTATTAGATAAGCTTATACTTCTTTTTTTTTAGTCTGTTGATATGATAAATTACACTTTTTAAATATTGAAACAATCTTGTATTCCTGGAGTAAACTACAATTGATAATGATATACTGTTCTTTTTATATATTGCTTAATTCTGTTTTTAAATACTGTTAGGGATTTTTATGTTCAATTATATGAGTCTAAAAGGATTTAATACCTTCTAACAATTCTACAAGCTGAGGAATTATTCTGACTTTGATTTCCTAGATTCCCATGTACTTCCAATTCATCCATACCTTGAGATTGTTATTTCATGTTGATGTCCTTACAGTGATCACTATTCTGAATGATCATCTCTCATAGTATTGAATTTACCCTTGGAACCAAAATTTTCCATACCTGAAGCTGCACAAATCACCACTTCTGGTTTATTCCCAGTGGTGGAGTGTTTGCCAGTAAGTAGAACACTCTGCCTACATGAAATTTAGAATCCTTTGACAGCCCCTAGAATTCTTCAAGTGACAATAAAAGTAATTCAGGCATCTATCAGGGCCTGTATTTCTGTACTCACTGAGCCATAACACTTTGCCCTTCTTGAAGCTTTCTGCTTTGTTATACTCAAAATTTCACTGTATCCTTGCTCCCCGGTGATGCCCTGTCTTTCCTTTATATAATTATTTTTCTCTACTGGCTTTTTCTGATACAAGTATAAATATGCTCAAATGTGTCTCAAAACTACTTTTAAGACAGTTAAGCAATTTAAATAAATACTCAAATAAATAAACCTTGGCCGTTTAGTTGCTAACCTGTATCTTTCGTCTTCACAGCCAAGTTCTAAAATGAATAATCTAGGCCAGGGATTTAGCTCAGTGACACTGCACCTGCCTCACAAATGCAAAGTCCTGAGTTTGATCCCCGGTACCAAAAACATAAAAATAAAATAAAATGAGCAATCTATCTTCATTATCTCCATTTTTTTCTTTGTCTTTCACTAAGTAAGCAATACAAGCTTGTTTTCACCTCCAACATTCCAAAGATTAAGGGTACCAATGACTCAAGAAGCTTTAGTTACATAACACCTTGGTAGAATATTTTCTCCTTCTAAGACTCTGCTATCTAGTCATGTGGTATCTGTCTCTGGCACTAATATAATCATTCTGTTTTGTCTATGGCTCTGCATCTTGATTATTGATTTCAGTCAAGTTTCTATCATTTTGCTTCTTTGCCTTTAAATATGGTAAGGGTCCCAATAAGACTTAGTGAATACATTAACTTGTTAATCCTATTCATCAGAATAATATGCAGGTTTGAACATTTATTACATGCCATTTAGCTTGCTAAGTGCTTTAGGTACTCTCTTATTTAATTTCATTCTTTTACAGCTTATGTGGGTAATACTAACAGCACTCCTGACGGGCAGCTGCTTGCACAAAGTAAGTGAGAGAGCTGATTTAAGTCTGAGCCTTTTAACAGCAGAACCTGTGCCTTTGTCAGTGACACTGTTAATGCGTATGACTTCTTCTGTCGTCTTTGTGAATCCCAAATCTCTCTCCAGACTTCCTCCTGAGGTTTAGAACTATAGCTATACTGATAAGCTCTGCAAAGCCATCATTTACAGACCTAGATTCATGATCCTTATTTCAAATTTTTTGTCTTCTAATGTTGCTTATCTTAGTGAATACCAAACAACATTCCATACTTTTTTATAATTAGGTTAAAACCATCGTGCTCTCCTCACATGCTATTTCTGCTCTGTAATCTCCAGGCCCCATATTTTTCCCGGTTTATTTCTTATTACCTATCTTCTATAACATAATTTTCATCTCTTCTTCCTGTACCCTGTCAAGCATTGTTAAATACGTAAATAGTCCTCTTATTTTCAATCTTTATCCTGCTCCCAATTTATCCAGCATTTTCTTTTATCCATTTGCAAGCAAGAATCTGATCATGTTATCTGTCCCTAACATAAATTCTTCAGAGACTCCTCGTTGTTAGCAAGGCAAGATTTAATTTTCTTACATGTCAGGGATTTAATATCTTTCACTTCCAAATTCCTCAACTTCATTCCCTGGTAACTCCTCCCCTGCCCCTAAACCCCCACACTTTATACAATAATTGTACTGCTTGAAGCTGCTGGAACAGGCCATATTTTCTCACACCTTATTCTCACAGCTTGGAACATCCTCTCTTCTGTTTCTTCAACTTTATCTGTCAGTTTCCTTTAATAATCAGGTTATGTATTCATCACTTTTATGGTCCCTTCTCTGAATTTTCCAGAGGAATTTTTCTTTTTTCCTCTGTGCCCACAATGCGATATGAATGCAAGTCAATTCCATCACAGCTTGAAGTACAGTACAATTATTTGTTCTTTATTGTTTCTTAATTTTACTTTAATGAGATAGATACTGTATTTTTACCAGTATATGTCCCAATGTATGTATATCTTTAATAAATATCCACCACTACCTATCACAGGTTTCAATAAGAATTTTGACTAATTGAAGAAACATAGAAGAGAAGAGAGTAAAGAAGAGGAAGAAGAGAGAAACAATGGAAAGACTGCTACAATTCTAAGAAACTATTGTTCTCAGTTTCCTTGAGAATATCTTTTCTGTTAAATAATCGTGGATCTTTCATTGCTAAATATTTAAATCGCAGCTGAAGTTTTGAGTCATTTTCGTACTCTTCACATTTACTTAGCCAAGGCTATGACTAAAACTATTTTATGCCTAAAAATATCAAATAATATGCTTTTCCTGCTTCCTTAGTGAGACAAAACATTTCCCAAGGATGTTTATTCTCTGAATATGTTCTGTCTCTCCTAGTACTTAGATTTCATTTATCACTTTACTCTTCCTTAAACTGTTTTAATTTCCTTCCCGAAAGTAGACTTCCAAGGCCTATGCCTGCTCTTGCTCTTATTTGCCTCTTGCAGTTTTTCCTCTTAATTGTTCTTCTTAAAAACCAGATTCTTATTTTCCCTCCCTTCGACTTCTATTCTTGTAATTCCTAATTGAAAAGGAGAACTACATTTGGATTTCTCACAGTTTATATTCTGTACTTAGGAACATTATGTTTATATAATAACCTAACATGAAAGGTTCCTAATTGTAGTGGCTGCAGAATTCTTTCAATTATAAAGAAAGCCTTTTTCTTTCTATCATCAATAACAGTTGTATTTTGTTCTCTTGATTTTCAAGGCACATGAATCTGTCCTCAATTACCCACGTAGAACACCAGTATTTCAAGACCACCTCAGACAGCATACGCCCTAATGGCTTGCTATTCACCTACTTTCAAAGCCCAGTAAGAGATGAAGGATTTACAAAAGTTTTCAATGGAAATGATCTCCACTGAAAACCCTAGGTAACTTGCTTTTTTTTTTATTAAATTAGATCTCTGGAAGGCTGCATATTTGTACCGTGTTAAGTCTTGCATGGAACCAAGTACACTGTTGTTTTTAAAAACTCTTGATGTTAACAGAAGATTGTTAGAAAAAAAATCAGGCATTCACTTTCATATTTATTGTTTCACTTGTTTATAAGACTATTGCTTTTTCTTAAGTAATATAACTTAATATTCTCTCCATAAAAGTGGTAAATGAGATATTTCTTTTGGAATTTAGTTGCAGAGAATGAATAGGCTTTCCAAAATCATTAGCATGATTTAATACTTTTTTCCTGGTGATATTTATAAATATTGTATTTCTCCTCCATTGCCTGCCTCACTGCTTGCTGTTGTGATACCCAGAACAAAATATGATGCACACGTAGTCCGACTATGTCTGTGCTTTACAATTTTGGGGCTTTTTTGGTAATGCTTTAATAGCACTTGCCACATCGTCATACAAAAGAACATTTGAGTTTGATATGCCAGCTGTATTTTAATTATGTTACAATAATATTCAACTATTAAATTAAAAAATTATTTGTGCATTCTTGGGGGGCGTTGAGACAGGGTGTCACTCTGTAGTTCAGGCTCGCCCTGAATTCACTAGCTGTCTTCAAACTGTAAGAGATGTTCCTGCCTCAGTCTCCCAATTGCTAGGGTCACAGGCATGAACCACCACATCAGGCTTATTGGTGCACTCTTTAGAAACATTTCACATACAAGCAGTGGAGCACATAATTAAACTATGTTAAGCCCTGGGTTTGGCTTATTTTATCCCAGATTTGGTTCTGACTCTCCATTTAATAATTGTATTGTATATGTCTTTTAGTGCCTCAAAATATATTTGCTACAGGGATTCATAAATGCCACTGGCAAAAATCTAAGTGCAGCTAGTTTATATTAGAAAAAAAAAAAAGAAAAAAGAAGTGAGTCAAATCTATTGGTCTCATAGCTGAGGAATCCAAGAAAGACCTCTTCAGGTATAACTGGATTCAGATCCAATGATACTAAGAGGTCTCAGACTTTAATTCTTTGATCTTTCAGCATTATCCTATGCAGATGAGATTCTTGGGCAGGCTCTCTCCAAGTGCTGGTGCTGTGCAGCTCCAGGGTGTTTATCACCAACTAGTTTAGCAAAAACTTCCATGAAAAACAATATAACAAAACAAAACTCTCCTTTCTTCTACAAAAAAAAAATCTTAGATCTGTCTCTCAGCTCTGACCAGAGTCTAGTCACCATTACTGACTCAATTACTGTGGTGTGGTATTTGCAGTGATGTGACTGATAAAGCTAAGGGCATGCAACTTGGGAGAATGGGCGAGTCCCACCCACATCACATATGACAATAGTGGTCTAGATAGTTTCCTAAAGGAAAAGAGGCTATGGTTGCCAGCAAATGGAAAATAAGTGCCAGGTAATTTAAAGAAGTCAGTTGTACATTACAAGTTAGAGTGCCAGATTTAGGGGGAGGGGATGCAAGATATCTTACTACATTTAAATTTCAAATAATACATGATTTTAACATAAATTGCTCATGCAATAGTTTTGGAACAGTTTATATTAAAATTATTTATTATCCAAAGTTTAAATTTAACTGAGCATTCTGTAGTTTATCTGATAACCCTGCCACAAGGTATGTAAATAAATTCAATTAGAAAAGAACAAAACATGAAAGATTAAGGTTAACATTAAGGCAGTAGTTATAGAAATAAGCTTATACCAGGCTGCCACTTAATCCATCCATAATTATAGATGGTGTAAGTATTACATCACTGCAGTAAAATATTTATTGATTGCACTACCAGCAATTGAACTCAGGGCCTTCACTGAGCTATATCCAAGACTCTGTTATTTTTTAACTTTAAGACAGAGTCTCACTAATTTGCCCAGGCTGGGCTAGGCATATAATTCTCCTGCCTCAGCTTCCCAGAGTGCTGAGATTACAGGCATGCACTACCACATTAATTTCCATTATCAAAAACAAGTTGATCTCAATATTTTAAGCAACTTGCTCTCATTTCATTTTCCTAAGTTTGGCTGATAATTTAAGTATGTATGTTTTCTACCTTTTGGACTGTTCATCTGGATAAGACCTATCTTAATTAAATATTTGTACTTATTTGTCACTTTGGAATATGTAAAACTATATAGGACATTTGGGTTACATTTCCATGGCAGTAGCTGCTGCAATACTTCCTCGATTCATACTGAGACCAAGAATCTCAGGATGTTTTTTCCTTATGTCATTTCACACACTTGTGCAAGGCAGGTGGATTCATCTGTGTGTCTTGTGTGTCAGCACCACCTTGATTTTATTAATAGCAGTGCAGTTGCCATTTGAGGAGGACGTCAGTCTAAGGATTGTGCCATTTCTTTGGTCAAGAAAATCCCTTAGCCTAGGTCAAGCCAAGGAAACAATTCTAATCTGAAAGTTGAGTTTCAAAACGAGTTACTGTGGAACCAAAAAAAGAAATTGATTCATTCTGATGGTAGAGACCTCAGGAGATGGTCCGTGAATTCCTTTTGGCATGGTGCTAGGCAAGTGACATTGCCCTTGTGTCTAATACATGTATGAGCTCCACCATCCTTCTGATTTTTCTTGTAGTCTCAAGTCTGTTTCTAATTTTAGAGACCCACAAGCTTTTCTAAAGAGATGTCATATCATTTTGACATTTTAAATTGTATTTCTCATGTCAGTTTATAAATTCAAAATAAGGATCTATCAATGCTACGTAGAAAGTTCTATGATACTGCCACGGGGAAAGTAACACAAGTAATGAGCTTTTTACCTGTGTCTGTTTAAAATTCCCCCAACCCCAGTCAACCAAGAGGGTCTTCCTTTTCTCTTACTGCATTAAGTATCTATTATGTTCAAGATGCAGTGTAAAGCTCTGAAGATTAAGAAGACACTTTGGGATTTTACAGTTTCATAGGAAGTCAACTGTGAGATGCAGTTTAGTGGGTAAGCTGTGTACAGGCGTAGCCACAGGATCGGCAATCATGGAAGAGAAAGGACAGAAGGAGTAAGCAAAAGGAAAACTTGAATGGTGAAGCAGATCCAGCAAAGTTTTGGCACATTCAATAAAACCTTTGAATTTTTCTTCATGGTATCCTCAAAATGATGTCAATTAGTCATTGATGTGTGCTGCCCGAAGAAGCATAGCCTGGAATGAGGTGGCTGTCTGCAATGGAAGCTGTCCTCTAGGGGGCTGGCAGCTGAAGGATGTTTGTCAACAGCCCTTCATGCAGCTGGTGTAACAAGTTCTCCTGGGAGCAGGATCTGAGTGATGCATCACAGTGTCCACTTCAGTTAACCACCGAGTGCAAGAGATTAGGAAATACAAACATCAGTCTACTGTGTAATTTACATAGCCATATGGCAAATAATGTTACAGAGTAATTATAGCTGCTTCACGTCCATAAGAAAAGAAAACAAAATTTGGACCACTTGCTAATATGAAGAAAAAGGTGATACAGACAGGTTTTTTTGTTGTTGTTTTTTAATTAAAAACAAAGTAGTCATTATTGTTTATCCAGTTTCCAACTGATGGGCAAATGGGCTGTTTCCAAGTTTTAGCTATTACAAACTGTGCCTCTATCAACATTGGTGTGTATATATCTCTGTGATATGATTCTTTTAATTTTTTTGGAAAGATACCCAGCAGAGGGATGGCTGGATCAAATGAAACCTCTAGTCCCAGCTCTTTGAGGTATTTCCGTATTGATTTCCATAGTTGTGGCACCAGTCTGCACTCCCACCAACAATGGAGAAGGGTTCCTTTCTCCCCACAACCCCGCCAACATTTGTTATTGTGTGATTTCTTGATAGCAACCATTCTTTGTGAGGTGAGGTGGAATCTCAGTGTTGTTTCCATCTGCATCTCTTTAATGACCAGTGATGTGGAGCATTTTTTCATATATTTACTTGCTGCTTTTACTTTTTTGTTTGAGAAATGTCTGTTCATTTCAGATGCCCATTTTTGAATCAGATCTTTATATTTGGGGGGTGCTGATTGTTTTGAATTCTTTATATATTCTAGATAATAGTCCTTTGTCTGAGGAACAGCTGGTAAACATTTTTTCCCACATTGTAGGTTGTCTCTTAGTTCTGTTGATGGTTTCTTTTGCAGTGCAGAAGCTTTTTAATAAGATGAGATCCCACTTGTTGATTCTTTCTGCTAAATCCTGTGCTACTGAGGATTTGTTCATAGAGTCTTTTCCTATGCCAGTGTCTTCCAGAGTTCTGCCTAACTTATCTTCCAGCAAGTTTACTGTTTCTGTTTTAATATTTATATCTTTAATCCACTTGGATTTTAATTTAATGCATGGCGAGAGATAAGGGTCTAGTTTTAATATTTGGTAGGTTGAGATCCAGTTTTTCCAACACCATTTATTAAAGAGTCTATCTTTCCTCCAGTGGGGATGGTCAGTTCCTTTATCAAAGAAGAGGTAGCTGAATGTGTCTGGAGTTGTTTTTGTGTCTTCCAGTCTGTTCCACTGATCCTCAAATCTGTTTCCTTGCCAGTACCATGCTGTTTTTATCACAGTGGCTTTGTAGTATAGTTTCAAATTGGGAATTGTTATACCCACTGCCATGTCTCTGTTGCCTAGGATGGCTTTTGCTATTATAGGGCTCTTACGGTTCCAAATGAATTTTTGGATTCTTTTTTCTAGTTCTGTGAAATATAGTGTTGGAATTTCAATTGGCATTGCATTGAATCTGTATAGCATTTCCGGTAGTATGGCCATTTTCACTATGTTGATTCTTCCTACCCAGAATCAGAATATCTTTTCCATTTTCTTATATCCTCTTCAATCTCTTTTTTCAGAGTTCTGTAGTTTTCAGTGTAGAGGTCTTTTGAATATTACTCAGCCATAAAGAATGAGAAATTAGTTTCATTCATAGGAAAATGGATACATATTGGGGATATACTCCTAAGTAAAATAAATAAGTCACATGTGTAAATACTGAATA